CAGATGGCAGAAAGAAGTGGAAAAATTTAAGATTCTCACTACACAAGATTATAAATAACAGGAGAGTCATCAAAATAATTATCAGTTTCCCTTCTCCTTATCTTGCTCTACCTCCTCCTCATAGTTTGTATTTTCTTGATTTATTGTTTAATTTTGACTGTTCTGTATTATACAGCAGTCAGTCTGTATAGAAGACACATAAGCAATCGCTGGAATTCTGTACTGTAGAAAAATGTACTTTTTCTACAGCAATACATTTTTGGATGTCTGTGTGCCTGCCACGGAGAAGTCCGATATCGTAAAAGAAAAACAAAATCTTCATATAGATCCTATTAACTGACTGTGATTACTTTTACACAAAGGTGAAGATAGGAGAACAGTCTGATCTGAACGTTATGAAACACAATCGTACAGGGTTCTTTGCTATTGCACTTTCAGCAAATGGAAGAGAAGCCCTCTATATTACTAGCACTATATATTCTGGGAAAGCAGCTGATCAAGAAATTATCTTTACATTCTTTTATGGACAATTAATACTTAAGATTGGAACTAGATTAGAATTCTGTGTTCACCTATAGAATTATATCTCTATGTTCCTCTTTATCTCTAGCTTTTGCAATTCATTCTGATCTTTGCTTCTCATTTAAACTGCCCTACCAAACTCGTGACATGTACCTATCATATAAAAAAAGTCTCGCCTTTTCCCCAAAGGGATTATTGACATTTTAAAATTCTTACTTAGTGTACAAAAATCGACATGGCTCCTAAAATTCCAGGACAAGTTAATCACTTGTGATTTAATCAGGAAAAATTAACACTTGGTAGTTGTGAACCAGCCAACATAATTGGAACTCTGCTATAAAAAAGTACCTTACAAGTGGTTTGTACAGCTTCACTGGACTTATCTCAAGAAACAAACTTTCTGACGCTATTTTAAGTAGGCTGGCAGGTTGTGAATTCATTATTCATTGGCATTGTAGAGATTAGGGCCCTATTTTCACGTCATCGGGACTGACAAATAGACCCCGCAGGAAAGAGTAACAGATTGTTACACCTCTTAAATTGAAAATGACATGCTGTATATTGAGATGTTGACAGGTCTTGAACACAAGCAAGGGTCCAACGTATCCATTACTACTGGAGTATCTTGGAGAACTAGGTGTCCATCTGTGTACATTTTACTGTTTCAAGCTGTGGCAACACAGAAAGAAATATGAAGAAAACAGCTGCCTATCTGTAGCTTATTCACACACACACACAATTTAATGATGCTTTTTATTTTTCATCTCATAAACTTTTCTCTCTGTAGGTGGATTTATGAGTGCAAAGAAGTGCACCTAAATTCTTTAAAGAATCCTAGTAATCATACAAATTATACATTCATAAATGGATAGAATCAAATAAATGGGAGCACTGAAATTATGTATATGTAATTATTGCAAGAATCATGAGGAATAATTACGTAAAATTTGGTGCTGGCTATAATTATAACCTATTCTTTAAAGTGGCCTTCCCAATTTTCACATTCTCTATGTAGATACTCCTTAGATTAAGAAAAGGTGTCTTTAAAAGCTCACTTTTCCTCAGCGTACATCTTATGAAGAGGGTTATCATCCTTAATGACATACAGCTCAGGTTGCCAATTTTGGAAATAACATATTTTAGGTGTATGTTTATGACTAAAGAACATATTTTTTCTCTGTAAATGGACAGAGATAAGTATTTTCCCTTTGCAATTTAGCCTTTAAAATCTGAAATAACCAGTTCTGTAGGTTTTAAAATGACATCTAAATATTTGGAATATACCCTAGATCACTCTCTTATATAACTCACATAAAATACTATAAGGCATTTCAGTCACATTCCCAGTGCAAGACAGCTTAGTATCTCAATCACTGTTAAACATGATTTTATAGGTAATTCTTTTTTCCTCACAAGCTAACTACCATACAGATGTCTGGCCTCATCAATTAGTAAGGGGACAAAGAGAACTTCCGTTACTTGCCAAAGGCAACCAAGCCACCGAAAAACTTTTATAACCTAATTTAAATGGCTTAATAATTTAATACCAAAGACTCCCTCTTAAGAACTTTAATTACAGAATTACTTTTGCATAAACAGTTGGCTATAAAGGAAAGAAATCACCAGCATGCTTATGTTCTGGAATACTGTAATATTATGATTAGTCATGCAGGCTGGAAACAGAACAGACTTTTCCAGTTCACAGTGTTTCTTTTCTACTCTTGAAGCAACATCTTCCTGGTTTCCAAAACATCATAGTCCAAGTGTTAATTTGAGGCCAGTATCAGGCTGGATAACCACAAAAGCCATCTAACTAGTTCTAAGTGCTGGGTTGATCTCTTCTAGTGAAGTTCCTTTCATCTCCTCCACAGGAAAAATTCCACCATAACCTTTTCTTTTAAAATATTCAAGGGATAACTGAGTGTATGACTTTATTGTATGCTTTTTATCATCTCTTTTGAAATGTGTGTGAACGTTATTTATATCTATGTGCCTGCTGATGGCCGATTTATCTGAATGCCAAGCTTCCAGGAATTCTCTTGAGTTTTTGGATTTGGCTTAGTTTAGGATACTCAGAGTTTCCTAATTGAAGCTATGGTCAAGTCTGTTCTCAACTTGTCATTTTTAATCTTTGTTGAAACTATTTTCCATCCAGCTGTGCAGTTTATTGAAGATTTGTAGCAGACATGGGAATGCTGTCATAAACATTCATGTAGAAAGTTTAGTTTTTCCTTAGAAGTTTGCATACATGCAAACATATTCAATTTCTGCACTTTCTGAAGCGTTTGATGCCCACATGTGATACCAAGGGAATATATGTAGCTCAGGGTTGAATTATGGACCATATGTGTTGCATTCAGACAGGCTTCGAGTGAACCCTGGCATCGTTAGCAGGTCTCCAGGTAACATCTGACATGACCGCGAAAGATACCCAACATTTTGGGACACCACTACAAAACAGCTACTAGAACTAAATATTTGACAGATCCTTTGGATGATTTGCTGTTGATCAAACAAATATTTGACTCAATTATTTAACAAATAAAAAAAGGAAACTCTTGGACACATCATGTTGTCGAGGTCAAAACATATTCTAGAGTACTAAGTGGCAGATGTTTCAATTTCTATGTATAAAAAATAGTTATCCCGTGAGCTTGAAGGGTACGTTTTTCATGGATGGATGGTCCACTCCAAATGAGTGTGTTAACATATGCCTACAAAGAACTGTATTTTAGGATGGTTATTTTAGCCTCTATAAAATAATCAGGTAGAAAAATTAGAGACTAATCATGAAATGGGTGTTGGTAGAAGTTACTGTGAATGCCCTTTCTATCTATGCTGCGAGAGAGCCCAGGATGGGTTGACTCCTTCCTATGACATCATTTAGCTGAGTCTGAGTCTTTCCACGAGCTGGGGACAGGAAAACCTGGCACGACGTGGTATCGATGACTGCTCCCAAGTGTTGCAATTTGGTTGTGGGAGAGAGCTGGCTCTTTTTGGTGTTGATGGAAAATCCATGGCTCTGGAGATATGACAGGGTAATTTGCAGATCCCGATGGGCCGCATGGATGGAGGAGGACAGAATCAAAATGTCGTCCAAGTAGCATTGGATCCTCACTGGAACAGAATGCAGAGATGCCATCAATGCTGCCAGAACCTTCGTGAAGACCCTTGGAGCCGATGAGAGGCCGAAGGGAAGTGCTCGATACTGGTAAAGCGTATTCTGATAACAGAAACAGAGAAACTGGCGATGATGAGGCCAAATGGGGATGTGGAGGAGAGCCTCCATGAGATCAATGGAAGAGAGGAGATCGCCCTCCCGAACGCTCTCTAAAATAGAATGCAGAGTCTGCATTTTAAATCACCCGTATTTTACAAATTGGTTGAGAAATTTTAGATCAAGGATGGCTCGCCACCCCCCCAGGCTTTGGGAACGATGAAAAGGTGAGAGTAAAGCCTATGTCTCCGTTGAATGGGGGGAACAGGTTGAATAGCTCTGATTTCAAGAAGGTGTTGAATGGCCTGATTCATGAGGGCTTGCCTTGAAATGTCCCAAGAGACAGGACAGATCAAAAAATTTTCTGGGGATGGCGTTAGGAAGTCCAATTGTAACCCTGACCTAATAGCGCTGAGCACCCAGGCGTCCGTCTTTGACTCCTCCCATTTGGAGGCAAAGAAGGCTAGGTGACCTCCGATGGGTGGGGAGAATGAGGGATTACTTAGAGTGACAGAAGGAACAACCCCCTCCCCCCTGAAAGGGCCATTTACCAGTAGAAGGTTGTTGCCTGCCAGATGCTTCCACACGTTGGTCTTGGCGTTGGGAGTACAGCCTCTGAGAGCGGGGGAAGTGCGATGAGGTCTCCGTTCGAAAGGAAGGAGGGCAATAAGGAGCAGGGCGATAGTTGGCTTTCTTCCCAGAGGAAGAGAGAATTTTATGTTTATCTCTGGTTTCGATGAGATAAGGTTCCAGAGCATCGCCAAAAAGCTTATCGCCTGTGAATGGAACTGAAGCCAGCTTCCATTTTCGGCGGGACCCCGCCTGCCAATTTTGGAGCCATAACAGTCTTCTTGTGCTACTGAAGATGCCATGGCCCTAGATGCAAATTTGGCAGAATTGAGAGTGGCATCCACAGTGAATTCCGCCGCTGAGATAATCTTATTAAGGTCTTGGTGAGACCGAAGGTCAGAAGCAGGCAATCTATCCTGGAGTTGGCGCAGCCACTGTATGGATGCCCTCATGAAAAAGGATGCTGCTGTTGAAGCCCAAACAGCCCATGCAGTGGCCTGGTGATTGCGCTTGAAGGTCTGTTTGGAACGTTTATCATCCGGTTTCAGGATATCTTCTGGCTCCATGGGAATGCCAGAAGATGAGAACGAGGCCAGAACTGGAATGTCAACAGAAGGCACTGCCAGGGCATTGTCCAGGGCTGCGCTGACCTTGTAGAAACGCTTATCCAGAGAAGATGGGAGAGGACCTGCCAAAGGGGAAGTGCACTGTTCCTTGACCATGTCCAGGAACAAAGTGGGAGAAGGCAAAACCTCTGCATGCACTACAGGCTTGGAGAAGAGTGAGTCTCCCTGGCTAGAGGGATTTCCTTGTGGCTCAGGAGCCACTTCCTCTGGTGACAGCTTGGCAGTGACCAAGGCCTTGCTGAGTAATGGCCTGAAGAGAGTAGGTTTGAAGACCAATGCAGAGGATGTCTGTTCTGGGCAAGAATCCTCTTCCTCTGAAAGATTTTGGTCAAAAATCTCGCCCTCTTCACGCTCTGAATGAGAGGAGTAACTGTGTTCAGATGGTGAAGCCCTTCCTTCCTCATCAACCTCCTCCCATTCTGGTGGAGAAGAATGGACCCTGAGGTCCTGGGGCCTGTGTAAATCAGGGTGATGAGGCAAGGAACTTATAGATTGAGAAGGGAGAAGGGTCTGAACCCTTTCCAAAAGTCGAAGAATTTGCTTGAAGCCTTCAGCCAATCCCTGCCTAATGGCCAATGAGACAACATCTTGGATATCCCTTGGTCTATGCTCAAAGGTAGAGGTAGAAGGCCGAAGGCCTGCTGCTGTGGGAGTGAAGGTGGCTTCAGGCCTAGATTGAGAAGAGGTTCGAGGCCTGGAGGGAGGGGGAGGAGCATAGGGCCCAGAAGCCTGTTGGAAATAGGACCCAGATCTGCTGAGATCCTGAGGATCAGATTGTTCTGCAAAAGTCTCCGGAGACCAGGATGGAGGATGGAAAGGCTCATAGATAACTTCTCCTCCCCTGGGAGGACTTGGCTGGGGCCCATGGGTATCACCTGAAACATGCTGTAGTTGCACTCCCTTCTGTTGAATAGTTCTGTTGAACTGCCTCTCCAGGGCTGCATGTCTGCACTTCTCTACCCTCAACTCAGCCTGAGTTGCCTTCTTAGGGGCTAGAGCCTTAGCTCTGATTTTAGCAGCCACCTCCCTCTGGACTGATTGGGTGCGTTGCCTATGTCTTTTTCTCCTATTGGGCTTAAGAGACTGTTCCACTGGGGGGGAAAGCTCTGCCTGAGCCTTATCTTGCTCCATTTGTAGAATAAAGGCTCTTGTGTTGGAAAGAAACTGTTTAGAAAATTTTTGTATTAAGTCCTTTAGGATATAAAATGGCCCCCGGGCTTACAAAATGGCCGCTCACCTCGTGGTGGAAGGCTTCAATCCAAGATGGCCGCTGACTAGGGGAAACAGGCTCCGAGATCGAAGAATCGCTCCTTAGGCTATAAAGAGCCCTGAGCGAAGTCAGCAAAGGAAAAGGCAGTCGCTGACCACGCGATCAGCTGGCTGACGCTGTTATCGGTTTGCCGATCGTTTTTTACAATCGCTCAAACCGCAGGCGTGGGGGAGGTCTGCAGACGCTGCCCAACTTGCCTGCACAGCGCTCTGGCAACGCTGCTCCCAACGTTGCAAGAGAGAGAGCCCTGCTCTCCTGGAAGAGCAGCTGCCCAGATCCCTGGGAGCTGCTTGAAACGAGAAAAAAAAGTACTGAAGATTGCTGGTGATTGCTATCTAACAGAACGCTTTCAGAGACACAGCTACTAACTGAAAGGAGCTGAGTCAAAAACTGGGGTCTCTCCCAGGGGCTGGCTTTTATATCTTAGTACAGACTCAGCTAAATGACATCATAGGAAGGAGTCAACCCATCCTGGGCTCTCGATGCAGCATGGAGGAGAAAAAGTCTCTCCTCCTCATTCCAGGGAAACAAAAAGCAGAAATCTTGGGAGGCTCATTCTGACTTCCTCTGCCATCACTGGGGTGCTAGACTAGACTAGGCGAGACACGTTCCATCATGCAATAGTGTTCACAGATCTCCAGAATTTAAAACACACACAATGTTTCTACCTTTCAGTTAATAGGGTTGCTTCACAACAGGAATACAATTCTCCTTTTAAGTGTATGTTTCCTCTTGCACTATTTTAAATGTACACTTTTCCTGTGCTGGTCATTTTCTTTTTCTTATTACAAAATAAAGATAGCCGATAGAAGAAGTTTTATAAAACTTTACCCGTGTTGTGAGCAGACAATAGCAAGACAACTGAAGAATGCACATGACTCATCATCAGGGTGGATGATCCAGAAGCATTATTTTGTCATATGTGTAGGATTTTTAAAGAACATAACAGTACTATTCTATAAATAGGACCGCTTTTTTAAAAAAATAATAATAATCTTCCATTTTTGTTTCAGACCATGTAACACACTAGCAAAATAGGACTGAAAAAAATGGTTTCATTTAATTAACAGTAACAGTCCAGAATCATTAGCATGCTTAATAAAATAATGGAAAGAAATCCCTATCCTGATAAATACCTAAGAGAAACTGAAAGATTTGTGAGAGACAAATTAGTAAACCTGTTCACCAATGTCAGAGAAGCAAGTTTCTTTAAGATATAATAACCAAAAATCAAAATGCAATAGCTCTATTTTGCTGACTATTTCGCTGGAAATGGTAGACAAGGAGTAGATTCAAATCCTAATACTATCGTGGCATGACCTGTCATTATTCCCCAATATTTGCCTATCTCACAAGGATGTTGAAAATAAAATTTAAAAAAAATAAGAGGGACAGCATTAAGTTACCTCAAAAAACTATGGTTTACAAAAGTAATAAATAACATTTCCCCCAAATTAATAGGGCAGAATTTGCTAAAAGATTTAATTTATTTATTTAAAAATATTTATGTAGCTACCCATCTTTCAACCAACTCTGGGCTGCTCCCAATCAATCCAATTAGATGATGAATAACAACATTACTGGTGAATAACACAAAAATTGTCACAATTTTCCTCTGAGCTGTATAAGGAATAGAAAATAATAACATCAAATGTTTAATAATCTGGAGGGAAGCACCATAAATTGGCCCATCTTTCAAAGTTACTACTGCAGTACTCCAATCTCCATAGACATTGCCTTTACTACTGCTTTGTTCTTGGGGAGTGCTTTTGAATAGAAAAAATGTGTTAATTTAGGATGTTTACAAGCAATAAAAGCAAGCTGGCATATAATCAGTCATAATTACTATGTATCACTATCTGTAAGACAGTGTCTCAAAAGGCTAAGATAAAAGCATATATAAATATTATATTAAAGTACTGAAAACAGTTTAAAAGAGTAAATATAAAAAGACCTGAGCAATTTTATTCATGGAAAGAGTCATCACTCTAAGCAGCAAGAATTCTACCATTTTGGAATTGCTTCACCTGTGCCAGATAAATAGACCTTGGTGAGCTTCAAAAAAGGATGCAGTTAGAGAATTACTTCATTGATTGGGAAATGCCTGGAAAACAGCTTTCCTGTTTTGCCCTGATTCAGTGTGAAGAGCTTATCATTTCCCCAGCTCTGAAAAAGTGGAAGCTAATCAATGATCTAATACATATCGATTTCACAGAAGACAATGTTGAAAAAGCACTACGCAACCTAAAACCATCTCTATCTATTGGACCGGATGGAATATGTGCCTACTTCTTAAGAAAGCTATCCACTGCCATAGCCAAACCTCTAAGCATAATCTTTGAAAAATCTTTCAGAACCAGCTCCTTGCCTAACCTATGGTCACAAGCCACAGTCATCCCCATCTTCAAAAAGGGAGACCCAAGCCTAGTTGAAAATTACAGGCCAATCTCCTTATGCTGCGTCACCTGTAAAGTCATGGAATCAATTATTAACCAATCCATCATCCTTCACTTAGAGACAAATAACCTACTCTCCAATAAACAATTTGGTTTCAGAAAAAAAACTATCCTGTAATCTGCAACTCTTACACTGCAAAAACATATGGACGACACAACTCGACCAGGGCAAAGCAATAGACGCAATCTACATAGACTTCTGTAAAGCCTTTGATTCAGTGGTACACGACAAACTACTCCTAAAAATAAAATCCTATGGTATCTCTGGACAACTGAATAACTGGATAGAAGCATTCCTGTCAAACAGACAACAAATGGTCAAAATCGGGAGCGTCCTATCAAATCCAGTACCTGTCAATAGTGGTGTTCCCCAAGGCAGTGTTCTAGGACCAACTCTCTTCATACTCTACATAAACGACCTCTGTGATCATATTAAGAGCAATTGCGTTCTCTTCGCTGATGATGTAAAGCTGTTCAATACCACAGACAATACTGCTACCCTACAAAAAGATCTTGACTATGTATCAGAGTGGTCAAACAAATGGCAACTTCAAATCTCAACAAATAAATGCTCTGTCTTACATATTGGCAAAAAAAATCAGAAAATAAAATACAAGCTGAATAGTCAAGATCTTGTTGATGACCCAAGCTCTGTAAAGGACCTTGGAATACTCACCTCTAATGATCTAAGTGCTAGAGCCCACTGCAACTACATAGCCAAAAAGGCATTAAGAGTTGTTAACCTAATCCTACGTAGCTTTTTCTCTGGTAATATCACACTACTAACCAGAGCATACAAAACATTTGCTAGACCAATACTCGAATACAGTTCATCAGTCTGGAACCCACATTACGTATCTGATATTAGCACAATTGAGAAAGTCCAGAAATATTTCACAAGAAGAGTTCTCCACTCCTCTACTCGTTGTAGAATACCTTATGCCACCAGACTTGAAATTCTAGAACTAGAAAACCTTGAATTACGCCGTCTTCGGTCTGACTTAAGCATGGTATATAAAATCATACATTGCAATGTCCTACCTGTCAATGAATACTTCAGCTTCAACCATAACAACACAAGAGCACACAATAGATACAAACTCAAAGTAAACCGCACCAAACTTGATTGCAGGAAATACGACTTCAGCAATAGAGTGGTCAATGTCTGGAATACTCTACCCGACTCTGTAGTTTCTTCCCCAAACCCCAAAAACTTTAACCTTAGACTGTCTACTATTGACCTCACCCCTTTCCTAAGAGGTCTGTAGGGGGCGTGCATAAGCGCACCAACGTGCCTACCGTCCCTGTCCTATTGTTTCTCTTATTCTTTTATTTTTCTTATATGTACCCATTTCATGTATTCACAACTATGTATACATTTATACTTATTATCTTGTAAACAATTGGCAAATCAAATAAATAAATAAAATAAATAAATAAATAAATCTATATATAGAACTGACCAATTACGGTAATCAGGACAAGCTCAACCAACATATCCCAGAAACCAGTCAAGTTACACAGCCAAAAATGGGACCCGGTTTCTTTTTAAACTGCTGATGTAAGAACTTTGAAAGGAGTAAGAGAGTACAGAAAACATTAAATGCACAAAACATTAATATTATGCAGAAAAAAACATTAAATGCAGAGGTGCAGAAAACATTAACATTTAATGTGGAAAATATTACAATGGCTAAATGCGAGCAGTCTCCCAGTAGGAGCAATCCTATTCTTTATATAATAGGAATTGCTACCTATTAAATAGTTTTTACATTCTGGGTTTTAATGGGTTTTTTAATTTAGTTTTAAAGTTTACAGACAAAGAGACATGATAGTTATGGAAGAATATAGATGTTCTTCCAAAGGAATTAGATATGGAATTCTGGAGTGAAGGAAAACCAGAAGCAAAACTCACATGAGTATTTTGTATCATAACAAAGTCAGATGGATCAGATTCATCTAGCATAGATTAAGTGGAAGGAGGGTATACAGTAGAACAGGGGTGTCAAACTCGCGTCGTTACAGAGGCGACATGTGATGCATCGAGACTTTTTTCCCCTTTGCTAAACCAGGTGTGGGTGTGGCCAGTGTGTGACACATCAGGGAGTTTGACAGCCCTGCAATAGAAACAAGGGGAAGTAACATCCCTAATTGCTAGGAACAGTTTCGTAAAATTAACCATCAACAACACATGACACTTAATAGAATGCTTACTTGCCAGCACCACTACATGTCATTGAAAGAGTGAAGGCTGACATTCCTTCCATAAGTGTTTCTTTCGTCTCAGCAGGATTGCTGGGAGCAATCGGGGAGCATTTCATCAAGTCAATCTCTCCTTCCATCTAAAGTATTATTTCTCAAAAATAGATTTAAAAACAGCACCATCAGGTCTCGCCTTCTCAGAGCCCAGAGTTAGTCTGGTTGAGGCCATTTTTTGCACAGTCCCGGAACTATTATATTGTGTTCTTTCAACAAAAACACACCTCTGGCTCCCTCTGATAACTTTCTGTGGGTTTTACAAGGAATGATTGTTTCCTATTGTGTATGGTTATGTTTAATATGTTGTTCTTTAATCAGATTTGGTAAATATTTAATATTTCACAATTTATTATGATTGTGTATTTTACATTTTAATTGCAATGTGCTTTTTATGGTTTTTTATGCAGATTGTAGTCTATCAATATATTGAACAAAGCACTACCCACGTCACAAATTAGATTATGATGGACTTTGGTTATGCTTTCTGCACCAGTAAAGTAGGAGCAGAAACTACAAGGTTTCTTCCATTATTAGAAATGAAAATGACACATTATATAATTAGCAGAAATCTGAAACTGAAAACCACCTTTGCGTTGCTAGTCATGATAAGGTTTTTAGACTAATTTTATTTTCATGTCTATCCCTAGAACAGTATTTTTTCAAGATTGACAACTTTAACATGTGTGGACTTTTATTCCAATAATTCCTCAGCCAGTCTTGCCGGTCCCCCTTGTTGGCTGGGGAACTCTGGGAGTTGAAACCCACACATCTTAAAATTGCCAAAGTTGAGAAATAATGCCCTAGAACATCTGCCAGAACAGTAATAATTTACATATAAATTTTGGGCTCAATTAAGTCAAGAATCAGCTTTGTATTTTATTATTTCATGTTTCTCTACCGAATTATTTTCCCAACTATTCCCAACATTAAAAATTGGCGTTTATACATGCATTTTACTGTTTGCCTCTGTTGCCAGTTCTTTTGTCTCTAAATAACAATTAGAGGACTGAATTATTTTTGTATCTTATGCACATTTCACAATTAGAATAGCCGCTGTTACAGAGGATTTTAGCTACTTGGTGTCTACTTCATTTTCAAGTATTGCTTGCTTCAATGAGGTCAGAAAATACTGTATATCCAAGCGCTGAGCTTGCAATGGTCCAAGGAAAAAATAAGTTTGATATTTCCTTCTAAACATTTGATAATTTGGGAATAGTTGTGGCAGTTTCTGAACTTATTACTGAATCACAAGACATCAGACTGGACTTAGAATGAACCATGTTAGCACAAGGCCACAATTTGGCCAAGACCAGAAACTTCACCCTATTATAAAAACTCTAGTAAATTAAAGATTCTATTGTGGATTTTAGCTTGGGGCAATATTTGGACATGGTTATGCTTTACAACTATCATAGTTTAGCCCTTGAGTCACAACCTTTTTGGAGTGGTGCTTACATTTGGAATGTTATAGGCACCCGCGCAAAATGATCACCAGAGTGAATATCATCTGCCACGAATAAAGGGAAATATGTGTGTCCCAAGATAATGATGCAAGATCAAATTTGGGTTGGTTACTGGGACCAAAGTAAATCTATGAACCCCATAGTGACCCAAATTCAATATCATCTGTCACCAAACATCAATTTATCAAATGAGAACAACATTGTTCCGTTATTCCTTCCACCCAGATGCTTTGTATCATTGACCAATTTATCAGGCTTTTCTTTTCTTTTTTTTCTTTCTTTCTTTCTTTTTCTTGTCAGCTTTTCAAAAACAAACCAGTAAGATCGATCCACCGCTTTTCTTTGCTAAAAATGCCAATGAGACCCAAATAATTATTGTAAAGTAAGATAACGCTGGAACTTTTGTTCATGTCATGCGAATTTCCATTTATATCAGTTCATTAAAGGAATCTAAATAAAATTAACACAGCAGGTAAATTTGAGTGTTTGCAACACAAGTGCACCCAAGCACCCTGCTGCCTACCCATTATTTTACCAGGGATCCTAAGCTTAGTGTTAAGCAAGCAACTCTACTTGTTTAGTTAGCAATGCTTAAAACAAACCACAATGTCTTGTCCCACAATAGAAGGCTTCATTGGACAAAAAGTTATAGACTTTACTTTCCTTCCATATTGTTCAAGTTTACTCCAGGTCTTGCCAGGTCCCCAAAACAAGGAAGAACACAGCATGTAAACAGCTTGGAGAGGGCTGAAGGCATTGTGAAGCGCTATATAAGTCTAAGTGCTATTGCTATGGAGAAAACTGAGGTCAGCAACAGATTTGTTAGGTGGAGTTGTTTGTCTGATACTAGCTGGAATCTCAATTTCATCAGACATTATCCAAATATTTGCTACAGACTTCTAGACTCAAGGCCAAAGACGCCACCTCAGACACACCAGGTGTAGGGACGCCCATCAGATGTAAAGAATAAGGAACAGCCCTTAATCTTCCTTTACTTATCCCCACCTCTTCCAATTAATTTTCAGTGGTTGTGTTTTATGAGTGTATTAATGATCTGCTATTTTCTGCTGCAAGTGGCAGGCTAGACACCCAAGCTAAAAATGAGAAGCTAGATAAGAGAATAAAGAGTGTGTACAATATTTTATCTAACTGCTAACCTAAAAGTTATGCAAATAGTTAAGCTTGAACTTAATAAAATTCCAATTTTAATATAAACACAGTTTACAGTCTAGTTCTATTTCCCTTCCAGTTCTCTCAGCACAATATTTCTGATTCCAGAGCAGCTCAGGCCTCACCCAGTTTCAACACACTTATTCATGTGAAAACATTTTCTTCTTCCAAAGCTGACAAACTATTTTTTCCCTGTGAATTTTTGTCTTTTGGGAGTTACCAGTGAGTTAAACTTTCCAGCTGCTGAGCAGAGAACACTGGTCTGATGTTAATGCACAATGGAATCTCATATCTAGAAAGCCAGTGAGCACCAGGTTTTTTGCTCTCTCTCACTCCATGAAAAGGTCTTTTGTTACTTCTGGGATATCAATAATGAATGTAGCACTTTAATAAATATATATGTGATGATGGCGGTCTTTGTTTTTTATTTGGGAGAGGTCTGCAGTTTAAAAAATTAAAGAAGGAAGCTCATTCTCTACTGGAGTTAGCAATCTTTTCAGACATCTCTCTCCCTCCCTCCCTCTCTCCTCTCTTTCTCTCTGGTGAGGTGGCTACAAAAAAAAAAACCCAAACATTTTTGCAAGAATCTAAAACTGAGCAAGACTGCTGAAATCTCCTATGAGATTTGACATTCCCATTTCAAAAGACCAATTTTCTGATATTTGAGCCAATATTAGTAGAGGGAGCACAGATGCACTTGGAGGAAGCATTGTATTCAAAAAGTGTTGTATTTAAGTTATATTATTTATCCAAGAAAACTGGATATCCCCAGTTCCATCAAGAGAGAAGGAAGCAAAATGTATTCCATTATTTATACACATGTATATTTATCCTTGCTTTTTTGTTGTTTTTAAACTTTTCAGAGAGACAACAATGAGATTAAATAAAAGGAGAAATACATTTGCAGTGTTTTCCAAAGGCAGCCTTTTTTAAAAAAAAAAAAGTCTCAGAAGAGCTAAAACTGATTATTTTCAGTGCAGAAAGCAGGCATTCAAATCATCCAGATAAGACAGCTGGGAGGAAAATTGCGAAGACACATAAAAACTGTCTGCGTCAGAGAAAGGAAACATGGACTATAATAAACTGAAGAGACAGAGAAACAGAACTGATACAGGTAATTGGTCCAGGACTTACTGAATATCTCACAGCAAGAAGAACAGATGTTCCTAGGAAGCCTGTTACAGAAACTCAGCTCATTTGTAATTATGGTAATGTGATCTACCATTGTTCCCCTCCTCTGCTGTGTCTTGTCTTCTGAGAACAGGTGGTAAAAAAAAAATACATTCCTCCACTGAAGGTTTCTGTTCTACCCAGTTCTTTAAATAAAGTTATACTTTTAGAACTGTTCAAAGAACTAGAAAACTCAGAACTAAGAAGAGGAATTGGCAAACAAGTCTTACAGCCACACCCACCCCATGGTGCTTTTCATCCCAATCTTAAAGTAGCCAAGAACTTAGAGTGACCCTTGCCACCTTTAATCATTTAGCAGTCTGAAAAAGACACAATACGACTAGAGTCCTTTTTCAAGCTAGCCACTGCCAACCACAACAAAATCAAAGGTTTGTCATTGGGTCAGCATAGACATAATCTCATCAAATAGGGAGTCTACTCTAGAGGATTCAAAGGGAATTAGTCCCTGCATGAGAGTCCGCTTTTGGCAAGAGTTCTGTCCCACCAAACAAATTAACTTCCAGATGTGCTCTGAGGCTGAAAGGCTTGGCCAACTCATGGTCAACAAAATCACATTTCAAAAATCAGTTTATATAATACCCATTTGACTCACAACCTGAATTTCTACTAAAGCTTTATTCAAGATGGTCATCATGAATGAAAATACAGAACATATGAAAATAAATAAACAGATAAAAGGAATAAAAATGTACTAACCACTAAAATACTGGCAAAACAGATATTATTTATTTCTTATCTCTCTACAACTCCCACTTATCACAGCAAGGACAGCCATCGTAAAAGGTGCTAAGATCTTTATCTTAAACAACATCTTCTGGTTGGGAACCAGTCTGTTATTGTTAGAAAAAGAAAAGAACAACAGGGTGGCACCTTTATATGTTTTTTTCCTGTCAGAAAACATTTTTAGAAAAATTCAATGCAAAACTTTAACAACTGTACAAAAAGTCAGCTCTAATTTAGTTTTATACTGCTGCATTACATTCTTTGTTATAAATATAGGAGACCTGAATACCCCTTACTTTCAATGGCCTAATCAGTTTAGCTGATGGGGCTGTTTATTGTGCATTTTGTGTTAACAAGCAGATTTACTGACAATGGCTTAAGCCTGTGCAGAAATATGGTTCAATAAACCATGCTTTTAAAATTCTGGATAAGAAATAAGTGTGAATATACACATCCAAATTTACAAAGTGGTAGTCAAAATCCCAACTATAATCTCAACTTTGGGAGCCATTGAAAATATAATTGATATAAATAAAATAAAAATACTCTTTGTATGACCCTATAATCACTTAATTTGGGGTAGAGTTGGGACAATTGGCTGGAGCTGAGCATTTACTGGCCAGATGCCCTTCCTGATGCCTATGTAGAGTTCGCAGCAGATATTTTCTCTTTGCACCCTGATAGAAAAACATCTGCCTTACCTAGGGTTGAACTCACAACCTTCCGAGGGGGAGGCAAGCACTAGACTACCACATTGCTCAATCGATAAAAATAAAATATGTAGATATAAATAAAAATGTCATAAAAGTTTTGCAGAGAAAACCTTCGCCTTGTTTGTTGCCAACATTAAACCAGAATTTCATGACTTTCATTCATAAGCCAGTGTTCCAAAGGAGTTCTGCAAGGGACAAGCATCGCAGTTAAAGAGCACCATTTTTAAAAAAATGTCAGTTGAGCTCATGATGATTTAAATATAATAATGCATCAATAACTGGCTCCAGCGGAATGGCTTCTTTAACCCCACCATAGACAATGACATCTGTTTTCAGGGGACAGTATAAAAAGACAAACATTTTTGAATAAAAATGCCCTACTGATTAGGAAAATGCTGTCTTCCAAACACTAGGCAGCAAAGGCATGATAGCTGAAGTCCAAGAGTTTTAAAAGAACAGAATAGAATATATAGAATATAGAATAGAGGGGGGGGGAAGGGACTTTAGAGGCCTTCTAGTCCAGCCCTCTGCTCAAGCAGGAGAACTTATACCATTTCAGACAAGTGACTGTCTAGTAGTCTCTTCTTAAAAACCTCCAGTGATGGAGCACCCATGATTCCTGAAAGCAAGCTGTTCCACTGGTTAACTGTCCTCACTGACACTGGATTGTTACCATTTACCCTAGGCTTTTTAAGTTTACTGTTGTTACTATACTTTAGACCTAGTTTCTCCTTGTATGAAAACTTGGGCAGCTAATCTTGAACAACATAAGCAAAGGTTATTCTCAGCAGAACTGTGCTCTATGGCACAATACAGGGAATCCATTGTCTAGTTTGACAAGCATTGTCTCTACCGCTTTCTAGAGTGGGAGATATTACACATCTAGAATGAAATGTGTACTGCCATGTTCATTTTCATGATAGCTTATTCTGGAGTATATAGATCAGTGGGTCATGTGAACTTGGTGGGTGAAGGGCTAATGTCGCTTGTTCTATCCTGTGTCAAGCCACACATCTTTGATTTCTTCAGAGTAGAAGCAGCTGAATTTGCAATATCTTGGGAGTCTGGTAAATGCATGTACAGCAACAGGCCACAGTAAGTACAGGTAGTCCTCGCCCTCAGACCTCAATTGATCCCAAAATTTCTGTTGTTAAGTGAAACATTTGTTAAGTGAGTTTTGCCTCATTTTACGATCTTTCTTGGCACAGTTCTTAAGTGAATCACTGTAGTTGTTAAGATAGTAACACGGTTGTTAAATGAATCTGGTTTCTCCATTGACTTTCCTTGTCAGAAGGTCACAGAAGGGGATCACATGATCCTGGGACACTGCAACTGTCTGAATTTTGATCACATCACCATAAGGATGCTGCAACCGTCGTAAGTGTAAAAAACGGTCATAAGTCATTTTTTGCAGTGCCATTGTAACTTTGAACAGTCACTAGGTGAACTGTTGTAAGTGGAGGACTATTTGTAGGATAGCCATTTTTTCAATGGCCACTTTTCCCAGCTTAAGCCCTTAATATGGGTAAACTGAAAACAGGCTTATAGTATTAACAAATTTTAGAATTCTATTATTGCCTAAAGGAAGAGCATGTCTCCAGACCTGGAGATATTATATTAATTACATAAACTTTTCTGGCTTTTTTCCCATGTTGTTGTCTGCAGCATAAGGAAATGTATTGTTCACTGTAAACATAATAGCTACAATTTCATTGATAATAAATCAAGTAAGCTGAATAAAATAACTCCCCAAAATTCCCATTAAACCAAGTGGGATTCTTTTTATTTCTGTACATGCAATTGTATAATAATATGTTGTTAAGAAAGGCTCTGGAAAATAAACCTAATCAAGGAAAAATGTGTGCTGAAATAGGATAGCCAATTTGAAAATATAAAAAATGGTTATAAAATCATTGTGGATTAATATTCCATTTCTGTGAATGCACATGGGGCATATCCAATATAATGTGCTAGACACTGAATATCCAAACTCTGTGTTTATTGGGGACAAAATATATGAATACAAAATTCCCAAACATTTTCAGAAAGACATTGAAGAACCAAGGACATCTACTCGCAAGATAAGCTCTTAAAAGGCTCCCCAGCTGAATAATGGGTTCAGAGTTTAAATAAAAACAAGAAAGCAAGTTGGTGGTTAAGAATAGCTGCCTTTCCTGAGTAGTATATCTGATGAGATAAGAAAAGCTCAAAGTTTCCCCAGCTCATCAAAAAGAATATCTACTCTGAACTTCAGCTTTGGCAAAACACAAGACAAGTTTGCTGGAAAATGAACCATGAACTCACTCTCAGGCATTCTAACTAATTGTATCATTGTCTAAAATACAGAAGATTCTTCTTTGTAACATAACCTTTGCACATCCCCTGTAGTCCTAACAGGAGCTACTAGACTGTTTATAGCACAAAATAGTAAGCAACCACTAATACAATAAGAACACTAGGTAGATGAAGAAAACTGAGGAAATTGAGAACTTCAGTATCACAGTTAAGCACAAGACTGATTAAAAATGGTTAGTGATGCATTGCTACAGGAGTTTGCATGTTCTGGCAAACTTTCATACATAATGGGACATTAAGTTAAATATTGGCAGATGACTGCCTAACCTACAGGGGAGTTGATAAGTGCAGAGAGGGCTGTCTAGATATCCTGGCCCTTGTTTGAAGTTGCTAGATGGGCTCCTGCCATCCTGATATATAGTTTGGACATCATTATTTTGTTATCAATTACTGTGTGGTATTGTAATCTATAAGATGTTTAGAGAGGCATGACTTAGCTAGTGTACCGGCTCAGTGAAAATCAATTAACCAACAAATCAAGATTTTATGAGCCCAGCCTGAAAAAAGGGACTGGCCCCAAATTATCATAATTAACTAAAACCTAAAACTTGATTCGGAGTCACTTTATGGACATGCTCAAGTAGCTTGACAGTGATATGAAAATTATTTGCAATCACACTCTTCTTCTACTTCTTCCTCCAGGATTTCAAAATCAATATACCAGTTTGGAGGAGGCTGGTTTAAATAAAGCATTTCATGGCTCAGGATACCTGGTCAAAAAACCAGCTCTGCTTAAGAAAAGGGTTAGCTTTTTTCAAATATAGCATGCAAAGAAGATTTGACACAAATTCTACAATAATCCTGTCATATTTTCAAGTTGCTAGTTAGGTTCCTCTTAGATCTCTAGTTTTGAGTTTTATTTTTTATGCTTTCAAGCAATAAAAAATAAAGGTTTCCATTCAAGTCAATACAATAATTCAACATCACAAAAGATAGTAAGATGTATAGGAAGTTTTATTTTACTGAAATAAGTAGGAAAAAGGGTGTAACTTTTTCATATTAAGTTTGTGAACCCATACCAGAATCCATACCAGAAATCCACAACAAACTTAAGTTAATATTTCCTTCTCCTTATCTAAACTTTAGATTCAGAAAATTCTACATTTCTGTCAAGCTACAGCTCCGGTGATTTTTGAAAAAAAGCAATGTACAGTAACATAAATATAGATAAATTAGTATTATCTCAGACTTTACAATTTCCAGTATGTAGTACAAATAATGTTTTTCACTTTATTATACTGAGCAATTTTGAGGTAGATACCTTGAAAACAAGAAAGAAGAAAACTCATAACTGACAAAGAGCTCATTAAGTAGAATTAGATTATCTTCAGCTCCATCTGTGTATATAAAATGTACATTACTCATACACAAAGAAGGGAAACCACAACATTTAATATACTAACTCATTTAAATGCTCCAAAATTACTTTAAAATTATAGGCAAAACTTCAACATGGAACTCAGTATTTTTAAAAAA